GTTACCATAGCCAGACAATGCTGCCAGTGGTGTGGAAGAAAAAATGGCTGTTGCCAGCTGTGTTGTTCACAGTCGGATGGTTGCTGCAGCTTATCGAAGGCATAAAGAGAGATCATCTGTCCTCCCAGTAGTTTTGATGAAAGCAACATTTGGGCTGTTTTAATTAGATTCAGGGTTTTTCAGACTGAAATTAACACCACACTCCACCACAGTAAACATTCCCCTGTCCTCTTTCTCCTTAGCTGCTCTTGGGGTAAATTATTAATTTCTGCAGCCATGAGATGTGTGTTGACTTTCTGGACTAGAATTATAGGTATGTTTAATAAGTAAATATGCAGCCGCCTTCTCGTTTTCTCTTTACCTTGCCAAAAAGAAAAGTACTTTACAACCCAACGAAGCTGAAAATGTCAGTTAAGAAAGAATGCAAGAATAGACAGACTACAATGTAAATGTTTCCCATATTTTATGGGACAAGTGCTAGGTTGGAAGCCTTCTCTTGCTGAGTACGGGAAGGAATGGAATGAGAATTCCCAAAGCTCTTGTCTTAAATCTAAGAATCCTAAGGGAGAAGGGAAGTGATTGAACAGGGGTGTTTTTTCATCTTAATGTTGGCTTTTCTGTAAAATCTACAACAGAACAGAAACATTGTTTTCTCCCTTCCAGGATAATTGGGCTTACCCAGCAAAGTTTATTATTGGTGACAGAGACAGGAGTACAAACAAAAAGAAGCAACGTGTCACAACCAGCTTATGGAACTCACAGCCACAAGGTTGTGGTTGTGGCCAGTACCACAGATAGCTTATATAGTGGTTCTCAACCTGTGGGTCCCCAGATGTTGTTGGACTACAACTCCCATCATCCCTAAGTTCTGGCCTTGCTAGGGGTGATGGGAGTTGTAGTCCAACAACATCTGGGAACCCACAGGTTGAGAAAGACCGGCTTAGAACATGGGTAGGCAAACTAAGGCCTGTGGGCTGGATCTGGCCCAATCACCTTCTAAATCCGGTCTGCGGATGGTCTGGGAATCAGTGTGTTTTTAAATGAGTAGAATGTGTCCTTTTATTTAAAAAACATCTATGGGTTATTTGTGGGGCATAGGGATTGGTTCATTAGATGATAGATAGATAGATAGATAGATGATAGATAGATAGATAGATAGATAGATAGATAGATAGATAGATAGATAGTCTGGCCCCCCACAAGTTCTGAGGGACAGGGGACTGGCCCCCTGCTGAAAAGTTTGCTGACCCCTGGCTTAGAATCAGGGAATCATAGAGTTCGAAGGGACCCTGAGTATTATCTGGTCCAGCCCCTTGAAATTGCAGGAATACGCAGCTGTCCCATACAGGGATTGAACCTGCAACCTTAGCATTATCAGCACTGCGCTCTAATCAACAGAGCTATCCAGACTCTTTTTTAAAAAAAGATAGGATTGGGCAGGTTCATGCAGGAGAGGTCAATCAATGGCTATCATTGACAGCATCAGCTAAATTGTGGAATAGCAGATGTTGGAGACCATCGATGCAGGTGAGCAGTGGCCTTCCCATCCAGATTGTGAGCTTTCCACAAGCATCTGGCTGGCTGGCTGCCTACTTATGGAAGCAATTTTTAAAAGCATCCCACCTTGGAAACCAAGGTATTAAATTGTGATTCATTACAGAATAAATCCAGATGTTCTAAGCCATGGGTTGGGTTGACTGTAACCAACACAGGTATGGCGACATTGATTTTTAAAAAATAATAATTAAAAAGCTGGAAGAGGTGTCGTCCGCCCCACCCCCCCACCACTCTTTTGCTGCATTGTATTCCTTTTAACCAAATACAGTAACTCAGTTTTGCACAAATGGATGGGACGTGTTCAGACTGGCTGTTTTCAGGAAAATGCAAGAACGCAGCAAACGGGACCCGCTGCTGTAACAAACTGCTGAGATCAAGCTGCCAAACAAACAAGCAAAGGCTGTGTACATGCTGTACCTTTAAGGACCCCCCCCCAAAAAAAAGAATATTGGAAACTGTAGTTTAAGGGTGCCAAAATTGCAGCCCTGTGGAGGGTAAACTACAATTCCCAGGATTATTGGGAGGGGGTACGTAGGTTGAATGTACTTTAAATATTTGGTGTTTGAGCAGCCTAAACTGAACTAAAAATGTTCAGATGGACCACTATAAAGTGGAAAAAACCCGGTGCATTCAGATAGCTGGCTAGCACAACAGAGGCTGAGGCTGTCGCTGGATTCCTGGCAGAGATGGCTGCATCACACAAAGCAGGTTTTGAAGATGATGTTGTCCTGGCCTGAAGAGCACAGGTAGTGACAGACTGCAGAGTTAAGAGGAAAAGGCTGGGGAAGTGTTTGGTGTAACTAAGGATGCCAATGAAATCAAGCAGATGCTTAAACAGCCTCTGGCTTATACTTTTGGCTCTCCTTTTGAACATAAATTTAAAATTTCTACATGTTAATGGATTTCAAATGGAACAGCTTTTTTTTTTTAAGCAGCTGAGTTTTCGATTAGATACTACAAAACGCATTTAAGGTTTACGACAGAAAATGGGGGGGGGGGAGGATTACAGAACTCATCTGGAAATTTCTGCTTTTTTGAGCCAGAGTAAATGTTTATGAGATATCTGCCAACCAAACAGAATATGCCTGTCATTCACCCCATTATACATGGTTATGCACAGCTTCATTTACTGAGTCAGATATGCAACACTATAGGGTGCTGAGGTTTTCAAAACTCCCCCTAGCAGAACTTAAAAACAGCTAACCCTCTTTCACAACAAAAGTAATATTGCAGCAGTTTGGTGAAGAGACCTTTCTTCCATATAGCAAATGCTCTCTGAAAGACCTTTGCCGAAGAAAAGTGTTTTCAGAAGATTATTTTTTTAATCATTTCATCGGTAGGGGAGCAATCCCACACAACAGCAACGTAATTTTTAAAATAAAAACATGAGCATCAACAACAACAACCTTCTTTTCTAGCACCAAAGCTTCAGTCCTATGCACCTTTATCTGGGAGTAAGACCAATTGGGCTTGCATCTGAGTAAACATGCATAGGGTTGCTTGGTAAGAACTTTCAGTGCGGATCTCAAGTCAGCAAAGCATCTTAAAATCTGTTAAAGACAATGTTTATAGCCGTTCACAGTGTGAGTCATTTTGGTAAGTGAGCATTTGCTGTGGCTGCTCTTGGTATAAAGGATGCATCTATTTAAACCAGCAGTCCTAATTGCACAGTACACAGAAACTACAGTCTTAATTGCATACTATATCTATATCTATATATCACATTCAGCCAGTGACCAGTCAGTCACATTACTGCTGATGTATGCAAAAACGAATAAAAATGCCTACCCCAGTCTATTCCCGCTACATCTCTCGCCCCTATCTCTCCTAAGAGAGATGGGGTTTTGTGTGTGTGTGTGTTTGTGTGCATAAGAAGAGGAGCACTATTAATATATGTTCAACAGAAATCATAGTATGGCAAATGCAGCTTTATCAACCGTATCAGGCAATTTGGAGACCAGGAAACTTGTGCTATTCTGGAACTGCACTGTTAACGGGACTAAGCAGGAGAGCAGCTACAAACTGCAGCATAGTGACTCAGTAGCAGTAGTCCTCTGCCTGCAAGCTACCCCCAACCAAAGCCTGTTCACTTGCAAGCGAGTGCCTCCAGTTTCAGGGTAGCATTTCCAGGAGGGCAACCCATTCAGGTGCTTTGTTCCGAACATATTCATCTTTGTTCTGAATTATTTGCAGTTGTCTTGCAACCACCCAAATCAAATAGACTGAGAAAGGAGCTCCCTTTAAGGACAATGAAACATTTTCCACTTCAGAGGAGCTGGTGGAGTCAGAATTTCTATGCAAGATTTACAAATTACGAAATGGGGGGTGGACTGTGAAGGAGTAGGGGGAAAGCTTCTTGAACCCTTTTTCTAATTACTCTGTGAAGGCAGCAAGATCAGATGTGGCTGTTCTAGAAATATATAAAGCAAATAGGTGTGGAGGGGAAATGAAAGGAGAAGTTTCACTTCTTTCCGTTTCAACAGGAGACTGAGATGGAAGGGAGGAGGAAAGGCAGTCCTTGCCACTACGCGGGGCTAATTCAGAACTGACTCCCTTATTTGTTTCTATCCATAATTGATGGGTAGCTTGTAATAGAGCTCCCTCTATCTCCCAGAGCTTGGCTACTAAGGAGCACGGGAAGCAGCAGACTGCTTCCACCAAGGCTAGCCACTAAATCATTCAGAGTTTGGCTTGCACTTAGCAGGTGGGCTGGAGAGAGTAGGGGAGACACACATACATACAGAGAAACAGGGGTCCAAGCCTGTGTTTTTCTGCATGCAAACTAATCCAAGCAACTTATGCCCAGCTCCAAAACAGAGGAGAGGAGAGCTGTACCAGCAGCATCCCTGGCAATGTCATTTACAATGATGCTCATGGAGGCAGTGTATGTGATGCTCTCAGACAAATACAGCCGTTCCCAAGTGAACCAGGTAGTTGCTAGTGTCATGGGGACAGACCTTTGCATTTGATTTATTCATGTGTGTTTGTGTGTCCCTGCCTCTCCAGTCAACAAAGTTCCCAGATACAAAGATCTACAGAGGAGGAGAGCAACAGAGGATGGTGATCCAGGGACCTCCAGGATCCCTGCAACCAATTTGCAAAGCGATGCCTACATGGGAGTTTTACAAACCGCCCCCTTTTCCCCATGTCCCAAATACTCACACTCACACAACCATCTCATGGCAGTGTGGGTCAGCACCTTTTTCTGCCCAGATTGCCAGCCCCTCCAGGAGGATAAGAAGACCCTGGGCTGAGCAGAAACCGACAGGTGGGCACATCACCCCTCTCAAGGTTTGCCAGGTCTGCACCACCGGAACCTACTTGCAATGCCAACGCTAAAGCCTTGGAGTGCTAAGCAGCTTCTGAGCGTTTGCAAAGCCTCAATGCTTCTGTGCCCCTAAAAAAACCCCAACAGCCAGATGCATCGCAGCCTTGTGACTCACCCATCCTGGGGTGGAGAGGACCTGCTTCCTAGAGGAAGGGTTGCAGCTCAGTGGTGAAGAAGGTCCCTGGTTCAATCCCCAAGTAGGGCTGGAGAGACCCCTTCCTGAAACTCTGGAGAGCTGCTACCAGCCAGTGTGGACAGTACTGAGCGTGATGGGCCAAAGGTCTGAGTTCCTGTGCTCCTAGGCTCTCCAAGCAATCGCAAGCCTGAGTTTTCAGGAATCCCGAACCAACCTGGCCAGCCAGTGCTCTGCGGACCTCCGATGTTTTACCTGCTGCTGCTGCTCAGATCTGACACACCAGCACAAAACCAGGTGCCAGTTGCTGCTCTCCGTTCCCTACCGGTCCATGAACGATTTCCAGCCCTTCTCCTCCTCTAATCCTCTGTACCGCCAGAGGGGTAAAAACAAGCACTCCCAACCCTACCCCTGGTGCAAAACCGTCATGCGACCAAAGCCCCCCAGCTGTCCGCAGGGCTCTTGGCTCCTTCATCCTCCTCCTGTTCCTTCTCTCCTGCTCGGCTGGCCCTTCAAGAGAGCAGCATCTCTCTCCGTCTCCTTGTCGCCCAGCACCCCTCCCTCCGCAGCCGCCGCTTTCTTCCCAAAGCTCAGCCAGCCCTTGCGAAGGGAACCGCTCCGAATCCAAACTTGGCTGGCTCTCCCAGCCCTAAACCCCGCACGTTTGCTTTCTCGCCTGCAGCCGAGAACGCGATCTTCTCGCTCCGATTCCTCCAAACCGAATGAACTCACAACGAAATAAGCGGAAAGAAAGAAAGAAAAAAACCACCTACGCGCAGAAAAAAGGGGAAGGCAAAAAAAGAAAAGAAAAGCGCAAGAGCGCATCCGACACTGGCAGACCTTGCAACTTTTCAAACGACCATCTAACACGCAGGTCGTCGCCTCCGAGACGCTTTTCGGCAGCCCTCACCTCCCCCAGCTGCAGCGCCTGCAAGCAACGAGTCAAAAAGAAAACAACCCAGGGACCGGGGGGGGGCGGATATCCACACGTCTCTGCTCAGAAGCCCCATTGACTCCAATGCGACTGACTCCCGGGAAAGTATTGTTGCAGGATTGCGTCTTAACCAACACCCGGTTTCGTCTCGGGACTCTTCCCGTCCTGCCTCCCCGTGCACGCACAGACCTAGATATAAACACCCAACACCATTTTCCTCCCCCAGCGAAGCTCCGCCGCGACGCGCGTTGCAAGCCGATCAGCTGTCCTGCGTGTGCACGCCATTCAGACAATAACTAGCCAGCCGTGAGATGCTGAGACGCGCTGTCGCAGCTCGGCTTCTGCCAAGCAAACCGGGGGGGGGAGGAGGAAGCGGGGGGGGGGTAATGGCTTTTGCAATCGGCTTGTGTGTGTGTTTGTGGAAACGTAGCTCTCCTTACCTCATCCACGGGCTTGGTGGAGAAGGAAGCCGCCGCGGGAATACCAAGAGCGAAGGGTGGAGAAAGAATGGTAGTAAAAAATAATAATATCTGCGATCAAAATATCAGAACCGAATCAAGAGTCGAGCTCCAGCTCGGCGCTTCCCCGCGAGCGTCGCGTCTGGCCGTCCTCATCCTCGCAAACCTCCTCCTGCAAAAACTCGCGGCGGCGGCAGCAGCAGCACCGGGACGCGCCGGCAGCAAAACAAACCCGAGCGAGGCAAATGGTGTAATACGATCCATCTCCAGTCACTCCGGCAAAAGGAGCCGAGAGGGGGGAGGCAGCTGCCGCCGCCGCTTCCCTCCCAACCATCAGGCGGCTGGAGAGCTCAGGGTCCCACCCCCAACAGGCTGGGATAAGGCGAGCAGATTTGGGCAGCTCGCCCTCACTGGCTGCGGCGAGGCCCCCATCTCTCCCTCCGCCCCTCCATCGCTCCCTCCATCGCTGTCTCTTTCCCTCTGACCCTTCAGTGGCCTCCCCACCACCACCCCCGCTTCCAAGGAGCTGCTACAACTCCAAACACCTCCGTTACACTGGCAAAGCTCGCGCAGTGGTCTTTCTCTCTCTCTCGTTTTCCCCTCCCTCTCCTCTCCTCTCCTCTTTTATTATTCAAGCCTTATTTCAGACATCCTGAGGACAAACAATAGCTGCCAACCGGCTCTGAATGCACACAGCCCTCCAGGAAAGTTAAGAAAGTTAAGACCCAATTCTTTTTCCCCCTTCTCAAATCATTCGCTTTGTCTTTGTCCCCAATCTTCCCTGCAATCCCTTCCTTCCTTCTCTTTTTCTCTGCGCAACACCTCTTCAATGGTACTTATAATGCTGTTGCTAATAATACGTTGGTTACCTGCCCTCCTCCTGAGGATCCAGGACAGGTTACAACAATTTAAACACAATGTTAAAAACACAACGTGAAATCACAGAAACAAGGTGGGCTCTAAAAACCAACTTTCTTTCTTTGCTTCCTTCCTCCCTCTCTTGCTGTCTCTAAGCTTCTCCCCTCAACGCGGTTTTTTTCTCGTCCTTCACCAGCGAGCCCACAAATATTCTCCAATCACACAACTTTATAAACATGTATAAGTTATCAGAAGTCAGACAGGTGGGGGAAAGAACTCCCATCAAATCACACACACACAGGAACACGCTTCCTTTTTCTCAAAGATTGCTTGCTCAAAATTTCTCATTCCTACTTTAAATGACAGTCCTTCAGTACACTGTAATTTGGCAGGATAATGAGAGTCCATTTTCACAGACAAGGTAAAAAAAAAAAGGAAAGGAGGGGTATGGGAGATCTGAAATGTCTTCAATAAAATGGGGGAGTAATATATAGGGGTTTTTTTTGTTTTTTTAAGTACCATGGGTTTAATCTTGGAAATAAATGCCAAGAATTGACGATGATTTATTAATTTTTCTGCTGAAACATGAATCATTGAAGGCATAGAACGGTAGGGGAAGAATGCACCACTTGAAAAATTGGGGAGGGGGATGTTTCCCTGAGCTTTATTATTTGAGCTTGGAGGGAAAGCAGAATTTCATTTCAAAAAACATATTGCAGCAAAAACTGATTTTCTCTATCAAGTCCAAGGCTGAAAACCTGCTAAGTAAAATCACCGGGAGTTTGGCCACAGGAGTAGCAATGCACCCCAAGGCTTCAATATATTACTCCCCGTGGTTATTCACTAACTCTGCAAAGTTGTTAAATCGCACTTGTAACTTTGCCTTAAAAAGCGCTTGGTTTCTCCTTTCACAGACCTGGTCAAGATCTCATATTTACTTGCAAGAAATATTTGTGGCACAATTCTCCCCGTGCAAAAAGCAGAAGCTGACAAAAACTCCTTTTATTTCGATGGGAGTTTTGCTTAGAGAGTTAACAACTGATGTGATTGTGGGGTAGAGGAAGAGAGAGAGGTTTAAAGGTTTGGCCCACAGTACATTCTCTTCAGTGACTGCCAACAAAGTTTCCCAGCCATGGGAATGGGCCATTTTTGGCAGGCAAACCTTTGGATATTTCACTCTGATGTTTTCGGGTGGTGACAGACTGAAGACTACATCACTGCGGCCTTCTGTACAGCTGACATTCAACAGACCCATTTTCTGACACCAGAAGCTTTTGCCTCTTTAGAAGCATAAGGGTATTCTTCACGTCTCTCCTTCCAAGGGAGCAACCCAAAGGATGCGGGTGTCAAAATCTGCACGCTCAGTGTAGAAACTAGGGTGGTAACCGCATATGTCATCTAAGAATCAAACTGGAAACCAGAAGGAGATACACACACACACACACACACACACACACACACACACGGAGATGCAATGTGCGGGTATCAAGGGGAAGGTCTGTGAAAGGCCTGAAATGTTTTGAGGAAGATCCAAGATGGCATGAGCATTGCAAAACCCTGACAGCTGCAAAGCCATGCCCACAAATACACCCCACTGGCTTTTCCTAAAACAGTGTTGCCTAGAAAGCAATGAGGAAGAGATAATTTAGGGGCAGTACGATAGTCACCTTGAAATATTGGAAGGGCTGCCCCATAAATGATGCAACAAATCTGTTTCTGGTTGCTCCAGAGGGTAGGATCCAAACCAATATGTTCAAATGACAAGAAAAGTGGATTTGGACAAAACATTAGGAAGAGCTGACAGTATAAATGGTTTGACAGTGTGACAGAGCGTCTCAGACGGTGGGGTCCTCTACGTTTAAACTGGCATCGTGCCACTTTCAACAATCTCCCAAAGAACCCTGGGAAGTGTAGTTTATTAAGAGTGCTGAGTGTTGCTAGGAGACCACTTGATCCCTTGTGGAACTACATTTCCCAGTTTCCTGGGAAGATGGGTTCATTGTTAAAACACTCAGAGAATTGTGGCTTTGAAGCTTCAAAGCAGCCGATGCAAGGGGACAGCAGCCCTTGCAGAGAGCTCTCAGCACTAAGCAGGATTGCTCTCCCCCACTGGCAGAGGGCGAGATCCTTCTTAGTGCTGGGCTTACACGAGTGATCAGGGACGCGGGTGGCGCTGTGGGTTAAAACACAGAGCCTAGGACTTGCCGATCAGAAGCTCGGCAGTTCGAATCCCCTGCTCAGTCCCTGCTCCTGCCAACCTACCAGTCTGAAAGCATGTCAAACTGCAAGTAGATAAATAGGTACCGCTCTGGCAGGAAAGTAAACAGCGTTTCCGTGCGCTGCTCTGGTTTGCCAGAAGCGGCTTAGTGATAGTGGCCACATGACCCGGAAGCTGGACGCTGGCTCCCTCGGCCAATAAAGCGAGATGAGCGCCGCAACCCCAGAGTCGGCCACGACTGGACCTAATGGTCAGGGGTCCCTTTACCTTTACCTGTACAAGAGTGATCAGGCATGCCAAATCTTGGGTGTGCCCAAACTCAGTACTAGAAAGGAAGTATGGAGAAGTCTCTTCCCTTCTCTTTTAAGCCTGATGTAGCTGTAATCTTAAAGATGGCATGGAGACTCCCAATTCCTTCTCCCCTTCCCTGAAGCTACCAAATCCTCTTTTAAAGCTATCTGAATCTAGGAAGCTGCCTTATACTCAGACCATTCGTCCCCCTTGCTCCTTATTGTCCAAATGGACTGGCAAAGCAGGGGGTTGGGTTGAACTTGGGGCCTTCTGCAGGCAAAGCAGATGCTCGACCACTGAATGATAGCTAGCCATCAACACTTCTTCCTATATACATAAGAATGTATACAGGTTTTGGTGTCCTCGGGTGTCTTCCCGTGTAAAAGTTGGGGTGTCTAGGCGACGTTTCGACGAGGTCTCACTCGTCATCTTCAGGCTGGTGCTTTCGGCTTCTTGTTACTGGAACAGAGCTATACAGAATGTATAACATACATAACATGTTGTCATGCCAGGGAGCCAGGGTGGTGTAGTGGTTAAGAGCGGTAGTCTCGTAATCTGGGGAACCGGGTTCGCGTCTCCGCTCCTCCACATGCAGCTGCTGGGTGACCTTGGGCTAGTCACACTTCTCTGAAGTCTCTCAGCCCCACTCACCTCACAGAGTGTTTGTTGTGGGGGAGGAAGGGAAAGGAGAATGTTAGCCGCTTTGAGACTCCTTCGGGTAGTGATAAAGCGGGATATCAAATCCAAACTACTACTACTACTACTACTTCTTCTTCTTCTTCTTCTTCTTCTTCTTCTTCTTCTTCTTCTTCTTCTTCTCCTCCTCCTCC